AGCACTCAGGAGGCTGAGGCAGGAGGATTGCCACAAGTTTGAGTTTGGGCTGGTGAAAAGCCTCTCAGTAGGCCCCAAGGAGAGGTCTTTAGTAGCTAGAATTTTTGGGTTTTCTCTTTTCTTTTTTTGAATCGGGAATTGAATTCAGGATGTTGTGCTTGCCAGGTTCACACTTGTGCCACTGAGCTATATCCCCAGCTCTGGGTTCCTTTTTTATGTAAATAAAGCATTGGGAAAGTCATTCTGTCAAACCCTCAGTGTAATACTATGTTTCAATAGTCCTGTCAGTGTGGTTTCCTGTTATAAGCAAATGAAAGATCAGAAATGGTGTCTTCTGATTGGCTGTGCCCACATGCAAACAAAGGTTTGAAAAGAGCATCTTTCCTCTCTTTTTTTTAAAAAAAGTTTTTCTAAGACATGATCTCTATATGTACCCCAGGATGGCCTTGAACTCTGAAGGATCCTCCTGCTTCAGCCTTCCAAGTGCTGGGGTTACACAGGCTCAGCACACATCATTTTAGAACATGGACAGGTAAGTGAAGCTCATCAGATGTGGAAGGCAAGCCAGCTGCAGGCCAGGGAAGATGTGCGTAAGGACTTACACACTAGGGCTGGGGGATATAGCTCAGTGGCACAGATGCCTGCCTAGCAAGCACAAGGTTCTGAGTTTGATTCTCGGTACCAAAAAAAAAAAAAAAAAAAAAAAAATTGAACAGGTGAAACACTTAAGATGGCCACCCCTGCGCTGCTGGCAAACTGTGTGAGCTACGCTGTATCTGAAGGTCAGCACGAGGGAACACCACAGGCTGAGGACCACAGTGCACTCTCCCCGCTTGGAGAGGGCTTAAGAATGGTTTATGTAGGGAGTGTTCACTTGTATTTTTTTTTATGCAAGGAACTGAAGAATGAATTGTATATTGTACTGAGAAAGGATTATTTAATGATTTTAAAAATATAAAACAAAGTGAGGCAAGTGGTGCCCCGTCATAAACATGGCATTTTGTTTTTCATCCTGAAAACTATAGTGACACAATTCTGGGGAATGATGTAAGAAGGTAAACTCAATGATTTTTTAAACTGCATGAAAAGTCAAGTCTCTAGAACTAGCAACACTGAGAACAGCATTCCTCTTTCTCTCAAGGATTTATGTGCAGAGTAGTCATGCGGTAGGGCTGTGAGGGTGAGCCTTTTATAGAGCAAGTGCCCAAACTGCAACCCAAAACCCACTTACTTATCGCAGAGCGCCAACACGGCAATTCAACCTGCACACTGAGGCTTTAGTTTAGAAAAAACAACTCTGAAGTCACTGCAGAGTGGGGTCTGCGTGCCCACTGCAGCACACATGGCCCAAGCTGGCCATCAAGGCTGCAGGACATACATGTTTCATCTGATTACTTGTACCCTGTACAAGGCTAAGGACTGGAGCGTCACACATGCAAACTGCTTTTGTCCTTACATAGCCTCTGAGACAGGTTCTCTTTGTAACCCAGAGGTGAGATAAGTCACAAAGTAGGGAACAGCAGGACCAGGACTAAACGCAGGTAGTGTGACCTGAGAGGCTGGGCCATCAGCACCAATCCAAGGCAAGGAGGAAGAGGAACTGAAACGTGCTGTGTAAACTAACTTTCTGGACAGTGTGGCTCAGGGTGGGACAAAGAAGAAAATGTAAATGATGAGCTGACTCCAGACTTGCACTGCTAAGTTTACATGAACACATTCTCAATACTCTAAAAAAAAAAATAGGCTTAACATCCTCCCTTTATTTATCCTTCACTTTTTGCATCCCTACTATAGATATTTATTTAATGAGATATTAACGACCCAGGAGTAGGCAACCAAGATACTGCTTGTTCCTTGATAAAGAACAAGCGGTTTAGTAAGAGAGGCAGTTTGTAAAACAAACACTGATTTACTAATGTCAGTAACGAGTGCTACACAGTTAGAGCTTTGCTGAACGGTAATGCCTGAAAGGAAGCTAAGAATCGCACTGGAGCATACTGCAGACCAGCCTGAGGGTGGAGCACGGCATTTTAACTCCTGGAAGGCTGCACAGCGTCAAGGCACAGGAGAGAGTCCTGGGGCTGGCATGTAGTGACAAAGGACTGTTTCATTCTAGCGGAAACCAACCCAACACATCCTCTGGTCGGACCTTCTGCTTACTAACGGCATATTCGTGCTCCAGGACCCATCCTTTTCCTTCACCCTTCCTGAAGTTGCTCTAATTCTCTCCTCTGAAATCCCACAGCAGTCTGATTAAACCCCTTACAGTGCCTGTGCAGACCGTCATCCAGGACTGATTTGTTTTACCATCGTGCTGAAGCATAAACTCCAAATTTCAGAATATTCCTTGCTAACCGTTGACTCCCCCGAATCCCTGGAAAAGTACATCGCCGAGAGATATACTCAGTGATTACTGGTTAAATTAAAGAAAATGTAAAAATAAAAACATTTCATGAAAGATAAAATCGTGGAAATCAGTACTTTTTACAAAATTGGCATGCATGATAGCACAATGAGACAGTTACATTTAAAGGACTTTAAAAACTATTCCATTCTAAATTATAAAACTCTTTATATTCATGACTTCAATCAACAGGCATTCACTAAATTTCTGCCTTTTAAGATAATTTGGGTGAGGAAGCAAATCAAAGAGACACTGCTTTTCTACATCAGCTTTCTACAGTGCAAAACAAATGGAAAAATTTCAAAGAACAAAAACAAAGAAAAGCTCTTCCAGGGCTTAACACACAGCTGTGTCAAAGATAGCAGCAGATTCCCTAATCACAGGTAAGGGGTTACCTCCCCTGGGAGAACCGGGTTACTAATGAAATTGATGCTTCTAATGAAACCTTATGTTTCTTAATGAGGCCAATGATATTTACCCTCTATAGAAGAATCAGCATTAATATAGGCCACACCACGCTCTTGAAGGAGCCTGGAATTCTCCTGTAATAAAAAGACGAAACTATAAACATATACTCACGCCTCAGGCAGATGCACACCTGTAATTACTGCACGCAGAGTTCTAAACGAGGCTGGCTCACCTGAACCTCACATTTGGCAAACAGGATTCATAAGAGTTGATTTGAAAAAATTCCAACAAAGATTACTAGTGCCAACCAACAAGCAAAACTTTTAACTAACATTTAAGATAAAGCTATCCACTAAGGCAAAAGGAGTTAAATTTTTTAACCTCTCTGTAGTTTATCCTTCAAAATATTCACTCAACAAATGCAAATGCTGTAAGAGACTTTTCAGCGGAAATCTACCCACAAACATCTCATTATATAAGCAGACAACCTCGCTTGGTTCACAAGGAACGGGCTATTTCAAAGTCAGAGGCTAAAAAATTTATGAACTTAAATCATGCGAACATGGTAAAATTCTCTTGTAGGATACTGTCACCTACTGGTTACGAGTGATAACTGCACCTTTTTAGAACACTAACAAGTGTAGCAATGTATTTCTGAGATATCAAGTAGATTTTGAGTCTCCAAAATATGCAATTTCCGAAGCATTCTGACTGTGAGATAAAAAACAGAAAAACATATGCAATCCTTAATGATATCAATAACTTAAAATAAATCACACTCTGAAAATAGGCTCTTCCTGACACTAGCATGAATCTTGTTTGTAAAAGTGTCAGCTAGGTCTACAGGAGCACTACCTTTGTCAAAGAAAATGGAAATTTACAAGGTTTCATATAACATCTGGAGTATGATAGGGGCCAAGCAAGTATATCAGCATGAGAGGAAACTGATAGAATAAATGTTGACATTTCATATACTTACTATAATTTATGTATACTTCTATTACATAAAGCCATAGTAAATGCAGATAAAATGACTATTCAAGAGGCCTACTAAATATGCTAAGGGGATGGAATGCTTTTCCTTACTTTTAACATTATTTAATATATAGCAGGACATTATGATAAAGAAACTACTGTAATTGTGAAAATTAGAACTTACTGCATAAGCTTAATGGGCATTTAAGGGTGGTGAGCATTTGAGGCAATTTTCCACACATACTAGAATCATGACAGAAACCAAACATGAGCTGTTGTTTAGCTCCTAGTATACCTGTTTATTTACTATCACACTCCCAGAGAATAAAGTTAATTTATTTTTATTAATTATTTGTTTAAATTTTATGAGACCCAGTCTTGCTATACTTCAGGCTGCCCTTGAACTCACTACATAGCCCAGGCTGGTCTAAAACTCATGGTGATCCTCCTGCCTCAGCCTCTTGAGTGCTGCGGTTACGGATATATGCCACTATGCCCAGGAGTATAAATTAATTTTAGCAGTTGGAATTGTGTCTCTAAAAATATTCAAAACAAAACTTAGTTTTTTAGATGAGATAGTTTTTCTTATTGACTTCTGAACAAGTTTATATTGTTTGAAATGTTTTTGAAAAAACCTTGAACGTTTTTTTCACTGGATTCACTTGTTATTTTTATATGACTGACAGTGAGGTCCTAATGTGGTTTTTCTTTTTGGTTTTTACTTGGTATTATGAAAATTTATGTGGTAGCGAATTATCCACTTACCTCTGCCCACTCAGTAGAACCAAGAAGACCGTATTCTTCTGCATCCCAGCTTGCAAACAAAATTGTTCTTCTCGGCCTCCACCCTAAAATATATGTATAAATATACATATGCGCACAAATGCTGGAAGAATGCATAATAAAAACAAGGCATTTTTGAAGACTAAATGGGTGAGAAAATTAAAACAAAAATGAAAACTTCATTTGTTGGCTAGAAAGTGTGAATTGTGGTAAAAATCTTAACTTACATAAAACTTTCTGTTGTGAAAGACTTTATTTCATTTTATTTTTTTCTTTTTGAGACAGGGTCTCACTATGTAGTTCAGCCTGGCCTAGAGCTCACTTTGTAGCCCAGGCTAGACTCAAACTCACAGCAATCCTCCTGCCTCAGCCTCCTGAGTGCTGAGATTACAGGATGCGCCACCACGCCCAACTGTTTTGAAAGATTTTAAAGGTGAACTGTCAAAAGAAAATTGCATGATTGTATTAAAAAGAGGAAAATGTAGACATAGCAATCTCACAAGATCATAAGCTATGCCAGCAGTAGGTTTTTATCCTGATTGACTGTGTGCATCACAAGCCACTGTGGCCGACATTTGCGTAGCATGAAAGAAGAATCCCCGAGTGCCACCAGTGTTGTGATAGCAAATCAACTAGGAGAAAACCCTGCAACTCCTTCCCTGTCCTGACGTCATGTGAACAGTTGCTCAGTGGGAACTGGCTGTGTGATTTCACTTTGTTCTTTGACAAAGTTAGTCACTGGGATTTAGTTAGCAATGGCAATGCTGGCTGCTATGCAGAACTGAATACTCCATTAAGGGAGTCAAGTCACATGGCTTGGAAATGGTAAATACTGGCCTTGGAGTTACAGAAGGATCCTGGCTCAAACCCTGGCTCTCTCACCTACTAGCAGTGTGAAGGAACTTATTCAGACCAACTCACCCTTTCTGCACTGGGGGCGGAGGAATAACAGAGGGAAGGAGAAGAAACCATTTGCCTTTAGGGAGGATTAAAAGGAATAATGTTGATAAAGCATTAATTAATGCTTCAAAACTTTTACATTATTGCCAGGTGTGGTGACACAAACCTGTAATCCCAGCACTCAGGAGGCTGAGGCAGGAGGATCTTTGTGAGTTTGAGACCAGCCTGGGTTACAAAGTGAGGTCAAGGCCAGCCTGAACTGCATAGCAAGACCCTGTCTCCAACACACACACACACACACACACACACACACACACACACAAATTAAGTTGTCATTATGTTAAAAAAAAATCTTGGGGGTGTTTATTTGTTTGATTTTTGTTTTTTGGTTTTCTTTTTTTTTTTTTTTTTTCTGGTACCAGGAATCGAACTCATGACCTCGTGCTTGCCAGGCAGGCGCTGTGCCACTGAGCTAAATCCCCAGCCCCTTGGGTGTGTTTATTAAGAATGTTTATCTTACAGCTGTTGACCCAGGGTTCCACTTTTGTGAGATTTCCTAACAGCATTATTCAAATTCCTGTGTATTATTCCCCATCCTTTCATTTATTTCACCTACTCTACAGGTTCCACAGTGAAGGTTTGCATTTACCACAGAAATTTTCTTGAAAAATCATGAAACTTTTTGTAGTAAGACTAAAAAGGACCTAACTCTTGAATATGTAAATCTAGATCTCTAATTCCTTGTTTTCTTGTAATAGAAGACAGCTTTGTGAGCAACAATAATAGACACTCTGCACTTTATTTAAATGGAGACAGCATGTTTCTGTGGACTGGCGGCCAGAAGTCTGAGTGTGAAGTCTGTTTTCTCACTGCCGCACACTGTGGGTTCTTACAGAATCCTGCGCAAATCACTTCATTCTCTGCATCCTGCTTAACTTATCCCTAAAATGAGATAGAAGTAACTCTGAAGACCTTTCTCTGCTTGCTGTGATTTCAAAATAGTTCACACACATGAACCTTCTGTTTTCCTAAGAAAATGACTATCATGCAAACTGAATATATTTTTACTACTTTTATGGTTGCTCAAAAACAAATGGTTCACATTTTATAGCCCCAAACACCTTGTTTACAGAATTGGCAAAGAGAAGGGCCTTTCTGCTCTCACTGTGTAATGATCATTTTAACATGCAATCGTGTGGCCTGCATCATTACTTTGGTTTCCTATGGAGATCCTAAACTGCACCTGATGGATGGTGTAAGGAGTGCGGTGTGTGGGAGTACGTATCCCACATTCTGGACAGAACCCAGGCCAGGCTGTCCTGGTGGCGCCTTGCAGCCTGAGGTGTGGAGCCGGAGAAGGTGAGGTGTGGAGTGGGAGAAGCTGGGGTGTGGCCCCTCTAGCTTTTCTCTTTGTGGTTGTCGGAACAGCTAATTCCTTCATTCCTTTATTTCATATTATAGCCATCTATACAGCCCAAAACATAAATATTCCATACGTAAATGAAAAAATCAGTACGCAGTGTAATAAACTGACATTAACACACGCGTTGCTATTTTCACCAGCGCACCATAGCGGCGGCGGTGGTACTTTGGACTCACTTTACAGAAAAGTACACTGAGACCCAAAAGGATGTTAAAACTTTTCCTTTGTTTCCATTACCTTCCTTTTTCAGGGTTCCAAAGCTTCGCACAATTTCATGAACCACCGCTGCCCCGCTCTGAGGGTCGATGCCACCAAACACCCACGAGTCTCGGTGCCCCCCGAGGATGACATATCTATCTGAAAAGCAACGTTTTAACATTACTTGTTATCCTGGGCCAATCATCTCACAAACTGCAAATGATAACAGCATCTCAACACAGCACTCAGAACTTAAGGAGAACAGCCAGGTCCCGAGAGGCTTCTGCAAACTTGTTGTCTGGCTGCTTTTGGTAGGTTTCCTCAATCTGAAGGGAGTATGAATGTCACAGAGGAAAACTAGACTCCCAGACTAAGTGCAGAGGTAACTATCGGAAAGGATGAATTCACCCTAACCTGCCTCTCCCTGTCGCCTCCCTCCCACCTTACCACGCTGTCTCCAGCTGTTTCAGAGTAAGAGCGCGCAGCTCTCCACATTCTACTCCGATTGGATTTTCAAGATACAGCTCAAAAACTTCTCCCCCTATGAACTTTTCTCCGTCTTCTATAGGAAAGGAGCATTGTTTTGCCTGCCCAACTCCAGATTGTTGCACATCTTTTCACACTGATGTAGGTTCATTCCCAAACTGGATATTCTCTGAACTTTTGTCCCAGTCTTAAAATTCCAACGCTCCCAATGCTTAGCACAGCGATTCTACATCAGTAAGCATAAATGGCCAGTTATGTGTCACTGTAAGGACATCAGTGTTCTTGACCCTTAAATGAAAGCATGTGCCGTAAGAAACACAGGCAATTTAATTGTATCTAAGTTGGGAAGACATAAAATCTACTAGTTCTTAAGGAACAGAAACATAATGAACTAAGACTACATATAAAATTTATTAATCAGCATGTCATCTGAAATCAAGTCTATATATTACTAATGGCTTTAGTGTATAAAATAAAACCACATAAAGAATTCCTTAATTCAGGAATTTTCCGTTATCTTTTGTACAGACATTTATTATCATCATGGTGGTATTTAACTATGCAAAATATATGGTAAGCAAATCCAGCAAACTCAGAGTAAATACCTCAGAACTCTCTCTCCCTGCCCATCTTCCTCTGATCCTCCCGCTGAAACATATAGTTACCATCACCTTGCTCATCTGCCCAGTCTCACCCAAATGTTCACTTTTTTTTTTTTACAACATGTATGACAATATAACAATAACTAAAATTTATCTATTTTGTGCTGAGGTAGATTTGTTAAGGCCGAGATTTGCTCATTTTCCTTACACTGCAGGGTTTAGAGCAGGACACAGCACTTATCACTTGCTCAGTCAGGATTCGCTGCATCGAACTTTTTTTGTGTGTGTGGTGCTGGGGATCCAGCACATACAAGGGCTCTGCACATACAGGGCGAGAACTCTACCACTGAGCCACACCCACAGCCCGCTCATTCAGTATTTGCTCAGCAAATGATTCACTGACCTGGTTCCACCGCTCCCCGGAGCGTACCAATCACGTTGTAAATTCTGGTCACTTTACTGTCGGAGTGGATGTGCATTCTGACTTTTCTAATGCAAAAATAAAGGACACGGTCTTCAACATATTGGCTAAGAGGTGAGTGGCACAAATTCTGAAACCTTCCACCACTGTTTCAAACTTTCTAATTGTACAAAAGCAAAACTTACGCTGGCCACTTTTAATGACCTAAAGTAACTGCCCTCTTCAATTTCTGGCTTTGTTTCCCGCTGGTACGAGGCAGATTTTACATTTTCTGTCATTCTCTATAGTTGTATTTTATTTTTAAAGATTCCATGCAAGAGATTTAAAATTAAGATAGTCTCTTAACTGTGTAGAAAAGTTGCCGGTAAAGCCAGGTCCCACATTGTAGGGCACTCTGAGGCCTCCTTTCCAGCTGCTGTCTGGGGGTGCGGAGCCGCCCATACGTCTGTTGGACACAAAAACTGTTATCAGTTGAACAAACACTTAGATGTAACAAATTAAAGTGCCAATTAATTTACTTTTTTGAGCATATGCTTGTAACAGCTTCAATGAGTGATGGACAGTGCAAAGAGCTTTATATACGCCATTTAATCCTTACCAAATCTTTCATAAGAGAGGGTTCACTATGACTCCCGCCTTACAGATGAGCACATGAGCCTAAGCTTAGATAACACGCTTGAAGTTATGCACTTGGTAAGAGGTATCGCTTAAATTCAAATTACTGGCAAGAATCTGAACTCTGTATTACTATAATCCAATAAATGAATTATGTTAAAAGTGCCGTCCACAGCATGCTCCAAAGAAAGAACTCGATTCTACCACTTTGAAATTTTCCATTTTGTCATTTCTCCCACTGATCATCATATCCTCAAATATGCATCTAGCCAACCTTTATAAAGTACTTTCTACACACGTGCTAGGAAGAGAAGAGCAAAGGAAAGGACTCCAATTCAACTAACAGCTCCATCTATGGCCATACCACCTTGAACACGCCCGATCTTGTCAACTAACAGGTCCTTACAGCTGCATGATACTTCTAAATTTGAGAATGTGGACTCAGGTGATCAACTACTATGTGCCACTAGCCCCCAGTAATGTCTCAGCAGGCGACTAGGAAACACAGCATGGTAAGGTTTGCCATGGGGTGCTAGCGTTCTTGTCCTCTCACTTTACCATGTCTGTCTTCCTTGTATTCAGAGCATAGAACAACTAATTCTTGGTTTGGGCACGAACATCAAACATGCCTTCCCTGAATAACAGCAACAAATAAATATGGTCCAGACAAACTCAGGAAACTAACTGAAAGTTCAAAGTGCATAATTTCCACCTTAACCATAAGTGCTGAAGGAAGTCCAGCTGCAAGGCTGAAACTTGGTTGCCATTATGAGTGAATATTCCGAGCCTTAAATGCATTTCCATAAATAATGCCTGGACAAATGTTATTTGAAATTATAATGAGATGTTTAAATAGGCAATGTGGAGTTGAAATCTTCCATGCATCTTCCACAGCTTTCTCTCTGGTCACAAGCAGAGAGGCACGTTCTACAGTCTCCTGGTTTTCCCTGTCCCTGTACACATTGCTTGAGGCAATGTGAATAGCTCAGTCTGACCTTGAATAGTTAAACAATCCGTAAGTTTAGCTTCTCATGGGAAAATAACTGGACATGATATTCTATATTAAAGAGCTCTATTAGAGAGTAAATTTGTTCTCTCTTTTATTTTCTGTCTCACTAGGGAATTTGGCTAAAAATCAGAATTTCACACAAATAACTATAAAGTCATTTATTTACAACATATTTTCACATAAAAAGCATGAAGTATTATTAAAGAGGCATTTTATAGCTAGAAAGCAAATCCACAGTCAAAGCATCACAGTATTAAATATTCAAAAAGTCATAGAAGGCAAGTAAAGAATCTATACATACTTGACTACACATAAAATATCTCTGCAATATTATCAGCTATTAATATTGGTTTCTTTGGAGGTAGAAATATATAAAAAGTAAACTTTTGCTGTAAATCTCTTCAAATTTTAGCTTTGCAAATTCATTTCCTTTTCAAAGTGAAACACGAAAAGCAAAATACATAATCAAGGGGAATAAGCAACTATGTTTTATAAACAAGAAGGGTAGTGAGCCATCGCTACTGTCACAAAATAATAAAATATAATGCTGAGCTGGTAATGGTCCCACAAGGACAGGTAAACAGGTGACAATAAAAATAATAATTATATGCACTAATCAAATATATTAATAAAGGAAATAAAACACATGCATGGAAAAATGGAGGTTTTACTCAATAAATGTTACTAAGATAGAAATGTACTTAGGTCCTTCACTCACTCCATCAATTAACAAAAAATAAAGCCAAACGGAGTGGCTTACATCGGTAATCCCAGCACTAAAGGAGGCCGAAGCAAGAGGATTACAAGTTTGAGTCCTACTTGGGCAATTTAGTGAAATTCTGTCTCAACACAAAAAAATAAAAATGGCTGAAGATGGAGCTCCATGGCTGAGCATCCCTGGTTACAATACCCAGTACAGCAAGATAAGTTAATAAATAACCATGGACATTAAAGTGTTGAGTAGTAAATTGTCAAACTCTAAAAATATCAGATAATGTAAATAAAATTTAAGTACATCTCTGACAGGACTTGATAGACTGATGTTTCATAAATATGCATAAGTAGTAATGAATTTAAAAACCTATAATCTGCAGCATATTAATTTTGACTTGACCTTCGGCAAAGATGTATTGTCTGCTATGCTAAATGTGCTGTGTCCTACTCAGCAAGGAATAACACTTATGTATAAGAATTGACATTTTTACTCAACAGTTTATAAGTCACTCAAGAAGAAGATACATATAAAACCAACTATAACATATAGAACGGAGCATGTAGGTGACACATGCAGAATCCATACAAAAGAATGCTTAATTCAGCTTGCAGGATTCCAAACAACTTTCTCACGGAGGCTTCCGTTTCTCTAGATTGTAAAGGGTAAGTAAGAGCTGGGTGTGGGGAGATGAAGTTGAAGGCATCCCAGGGATGGAATGATACAGGGAGGTCTGAAGACAGAAAAATACAGGCACGTCGGCTGCAGGGACTAACTGATTAGTCACACCTTGAGAGAAAAGCTTAAAAAGGAGTGGAACACCTTATAGTAAGAGGAACGCCTTAAGTGGAAGAGAGGCCAAGTGCCAGGGGGCTTCACGGTTCAATTGAGCCAAATATTTATGGGATAAATACTACATCTTCACGTGTTCTTCCAAAACATAGAAGAGCAAATATTTCCAAAGTTATTCTCTGTAGCAAACAATACCTTGACATCAAAATCTGACAAAAAAAAATTACAAGAAAACTATAGACTAAATGTCTCTTTGAACATGGATGCAGAAATTATCACCATAATACTAACAAACAGCTTTCTACTATTGTAAGTAGCACTACACCTACTTTCATCTTTTTAAGATATCTAAATACTTAAGAGTTTGTTTATTAATAGCTTTGGACAAATACACAGTCTATGGTGCCCTCAAAAGTTGCGCCTAATCTTGAATCTTAATTCACTTGGAAAAATAAGAGCCTCAAAACAAAGACCAGCATACTTCTCAAACTGTCCTTAAACTGCACACACACTCCCAACTTCCCGAATATCAACCTCCTCGCCTGTAAAAATGAGAGCCTTGCACTGACTAGGTCATAAAATGCTTTTTCATAAATCTAGAATAACAGGACTCAGAATGATTTGATCTTAAAGAAAGGACGAACTGGACAGACGCTTTCAGAGCAGTCTGTGCTCCCCCCTCCTAAGGGGAAGTGGAGAAAGGACATACAGATAGAAGAGAGTAGGGCAGGAAAGAGGGACGTGCTTCCATGCCAGCTTACACAGTGACATGGCTGTAGAAATTTCAGTATCAAAAGCAGTATTAGAAAGAAGAGGAATAGACATCAAAACAAAATATGTGCAACTATCACATTGTGTTATTCTGCGTCCTTCAAGAAATGGAAAATAAAAGAAATACACAGGGAAAAGCCCATGAAGGAAATAAGCAGGGTGCCAGGGAAGGCTGAGGAGGCCATCAGCACGCAGTGTAAGTCTGAAACGGAGACAGGGACAGCAAAGGAAGAATAAAAGATGGGGCCAGGGCTGCACCATCTATTTAAGCAGGGTTGTCGAGGGCTTCAAGTCTCACATCTGAAGAGTCCTGTGCCTCCTAGAATAAGCTTGTCTTAGCATCCTGGCCTCACTCAGTCACTGCCTGGGAGCGTCTACAGGAAGCAGCGCTGGGATGGAAATAGGATGGTGGGTTTCAGAGCACAGTGGCTGGAGAAATTGGTCGATTATTCTCCCTGCAGTGGGAGATCTGACAGATTCATTTTCACGGCTGTCATACACGAGGCACGCATCGATTAAGTACATTACAGAACTTAATCGCTACTCTATAAAATGACCGTGCCACTACACGGTCCACTCATTTCCAAGAATATCAGTAGTTCCTCAGAAGAAGAAGACAGACGCCCAGCACAGGGAAACGGCCAGTAATGAGAACTGCCCAAATTGTTGTCTGCTCGTTCCTTGCAAACTTACTCTAGCAGTCTCTGTGCATCATAGTATCCAATTGGATGAACAGGAATATTTGGAATGCCAACAGCCTCTGTAATTTCACGCCTATAAGCATATTCTGAAAGTAAAATGAATACATTCTAATTAAAACTCAATCCTTCTCAAATTGATCAATGTAAATCACTTTAAACAGTTTAATTTTGCTTCTACTTGTATTAGTGAAAACTTTATTATGCCCAATGTTAGCAAGAATGTGTACCAATTAAAATTTTCATTCCATCACTTGTCAAAGTTTGAAAAGCAACATTAAACTGAAATGTACACTACGGCACAACACAATAAACATGAAAACATATATATATATATATATATATATATATATCTTACAAAGTTTTAAATCAGCCACATTTATATCATTCAACAAATTTCTGACAATAAGACAAGCAACCAATCTATGTATGGTCCCACAACATGGTACTACTCAACAATTAAAACTAACGTGTGCTAACATGGAAAAATCTCACACGATTTCACTGAGTGAAGCATGTCAGGCTCAAAAAAACATCTACCATTCCATTCTATTTACATGAAGTTCAAAGCCAGGCAAACAAATATTGTGTTGCCAGATATAAAAAACGGTTTGCTTTTAAGAGGTGCACTGAAAATTGGCCAGAAATGGACACAGGAGAACTTTCCAGAGTGACAGAAATGCCATTTTATTTTGGGTGACATGGATTTCCAAAATTGATTGCAATTTTCAAAACTTCAGCAATTTACAATTTTTTAAAAACTGAACTCAAGAACTATGGATTTTATTCCAGGGAAACAAAGTAAGTATATTCTGATATATTTTCAGATTTAAGAAAAATTAGAATTATATTTTGTCTTTTTCCTCTAAGCTTTTAAGTTGCTTAATAATAAAAAATTGAGGCAGTTTCACGAGTTTATTTTTTATGGGTAGAATTCCATGATATTCTGGATGAAATCTGTTTTCTAATTCTCTAGAGCGGTGGTGGCGAACTTATGGCACATGTGCCACAGTGGTCTGTCTGCTAATACTGAAAGTTCTAAAAGGTTTGCCATTACTATGCTAGAGTCACAGGAGATGAATAAGTGAAAGAAAGCAGACAAAATGTTGGTAACTATCTCTACTTTTGTGTATGTTAGAACTATTTAGTAATCAAAACTAAAGAAGAAGAGAAAAATTTAATGGGAACAAAAGGGAATTCAGTAAATATTAACCCCAGATAATAATATGATTTTCCCCTAAAATTCCATAATTTAAATATGAAGATCATCAACAGAGATCTTTCAGCTAATCTCATTGTAATTTTCACAAGTTTAGCTCTTTATAGCCAACAACTTTGAAGTGCACTTTTAAAAAAAATTTGGGAATAAAATAATGGAGTAGGGCTGGGGATTTAGCTCAGCGGCAAAGCGCCTGCCTAGCAAGCGCAAGGTCGTGAGTTCGGTCCCCGGTACCGGAGAAAAACCAAAAGAAAAAGTACTCTCAAATAAATAAGGATGCATCTCAAGCTCTTAGAAAAACAAGGACAAATTATAAAAAAAAAAAAATGGAAAAAAAAAATAATGGAGTAAGTAAAGTTCAGGCAGATTCATGTTGTTTTATTTATATTATTTATTCATGTTGTTTTATTCCTTTTTCATACAAAGGAAAACAATCTATGCCGACGCCCTTAGGAGAACTTCTGAAGCCAAAAATACACATAAGCCTTAGGGGAATCTACAACTTGCTACAAAAATCAGATGAAGAATAAATACATAAATGCGATAGGCACTTTGACAAACTTTTATCTAAGTTACACAAATTTTGTTTTGAAGTAAATGCTCACAGGTATTTGTAATAATCATCAGAGAGATTAGCACATCCAAAACAATTTAGTCCTTTTATCAGTGTTTTACAAGGAGGCTTCTCAACACTGAGCAAGTATGGTGCTGAAGCCCTGAAGCCAGACTCCTGCACCCAACCCCAGCTCTCGCGTGCAGTGCGGGGATCTTGCACACACTGCTTATTTCTAGTCTCACGTTCCCTGCTGTCAAACAGAGACAATGACACCCGCCCTCCAGGTTACAGGCTAGGACACGTGGAGTGCTGGCATTCAAGAAACCCCAAAACTGTGAAAACTATTAATTTGGGTTGAATTTATTTGTCAATAAAACTTTTATGTGACACCAAAATTTGACTTGAGCAGACACGAGTCTATCTATATTTCTTACCCCTACTTACTGCCAATATTCACACACGGTCCTGCAAAGACTTTTATATACGTGTGTCCTATATTCTGTCCTAGCCACTTACGTGTTACGAATTATATAGTGTATGTACTGTACTGCTTTATCTAGAAAAAAATCTGAACTTTAAAATGTGTCAGGCCCAAGAATTCCAAGTAAGGGATAATATGAATCAATAGTATAGAATACTTGAAACTTTCATATTCCAAAATAAAACAATTTTTAAAAAAGATTCTCAGTCCACTGTGTGAAAAGAAATCTAATACAATTACTTGAAAATGCTGTTACGATTTTGGTAATGGCTGAGGCCTGGTCACTCACCATTTGCTGGGTAACCTGGTGTGAGTGGGTCCCCTGCGCCATTAAGATTTAAGATATTTCCACGCTGGACACCACCTCCAGGAAGGTTCCATCCATCTGGATAGGATGCCACCCCAGGAGCAAAGTAATCAGCAGGGTCTGAGTACAGAATGACTCCTTTGGCCCCTGCCAGCTGCGCATTTTTAACCTAGAAAACACAACGTCCTTCTTATTGAAGCTGTTTGCTTAGATTCGGTAATATCAATTTCCAAACATATACTTAAACCAGTAGCTGAGATTTATCTTCAACCTTTTGTTGTTTTACGTGCAACAAGGGACATATTACAGAGAACTGCCGTTTTCATTTCTCTAATTCACATTCTAAAAGTGAATCAGCCCTCAAAGCAGATTTGGAAAATTCCTGTGTCAGCAAGTACTTGCTATTGTCTTCCACGGGTCCAGAAGCACAGTCAGCAAGAGGACTCTCAGGCTGGACTCCTATTTGTTCCATGGCCCAAAGCGGGTATTTCTGAAATTTCATTTCTCACAAGGGAGAAAAAAATAACAAATCAAGTGACAGTAACTTCAAAAACAGTGATGTGAAAATTTCTTTCATTATTTACAATTCAAATTTAATATTCAAATTTAAGTTAGCAAATGTTTTTGGAGATAATAATAAAGTCACTAAAAGTTAACAAGAAACCTGGTGCATATTTCTTTGTAGCCACAAGAAAAACTGCAGATATGGAATAAAAAAAACCTGCTGTGTTCACCCTGCCCTACACTGGCTGAATTCTGGTGACCTGATTTAAAGCCACTGCCTATAAGTTACCTTGTGTCTGAAATGTGGGCATTTACAAAGTATGAGGGGGTCACAGCCCTCAGAAATTTTAAAAGAGATGATTCTACACATGAAAGGTAACTTTTTATACTGGAAGAGAAGAAAAGATGACCTTTACCTTATTTCCTCTGAAAATTTTCCCATATCTGGCAATCACAATCTTCCCAGCGCAATTAATCTTCATGTCCCGCTCCAGTTTAAAGAAGTCTTCAGTTCGTGCATAATTGACATACACTAGATCCCCCTGTAGAGATCAGGAGTGAGTTACTAAAAAAGAGCTTCCTCTGCTGGAGGGAGGTTTGATATCTTTGAAAGACAGAAGAAGCAAGACAATACTCAAGGGTCAAACATGAGCCTAAAGAAGAGAATGAAGGGTGAAGTGAATTTCAATGAGGAAAGCAGGTAATTTAGAGATGTATGAGCTAAATAATAAAATGTTTATTACTAATTTACAATCTACCTCTATAAATACCTTTTCAGATCATCTTTTTAGGACATGTGTATTGCACATACCATTTACTTTCTTGTATGGAGTTGGTACATGTCATCTAAATTCCTTTCTTCATCCCTTTTTCCTTCTCTCCCCATCTCTCTATCACCTTTCTTTTTTTTTGGTACATGTTGTTTTTAATCTTTTATTTAGTACCTATAAAGATGGGGAAGCACTTCCCCAGAAAAATGCCCATAAACATAAACACTGCCTCATGGGATCAGAAGAGGTCAAACATCTAAGTAAAGAGGCCCTGCTGGGAGCTTGATTTTCTTCACGGCCCTTTTATAAATGGCAGAATGACAGGTGTTCACAGGCAGCAGGTGAGGCAGAAGGAGCAGGTCTGCAGGCCTGGATTCCAGGATTGGTATGAGCGCGTGCACCTACTGGAACACCTCGGGGCCCCAACGTTCTCATTTGTAAAATGACATGCTGGGCGAGGTCAGTGATCTTTCATCAATTTTGTTTCCCTAGTCTTTAATTTTGAAAAGTGATGTACTCATCCATATATTTTACGGACATCTAAAGTTTTTCATACTTTTAGCATCTGCAAAGAATATAATTTTAGCACACGATAAATATTAACACTTGTAGAAGCACATAATTTTAGACGCTTATAATTTTGATATGTATACAAAGGAATGTGAACTCTGTGTACTTACATATGGCTCAACACCACCCATTTAAAGAAATACATGGGCCCAACCTTCTTTACTGTCAGAATGCTATCATTTCTCTTTGTCCTTGAACTTGTACTTTGTCCCCTTCCCCTATAGCATGTTACTGTAAAGAGTACTTTCCATGGGCTCCAGGAGGCATTGCCCAAGCTCCTCCTCAAGGAAGGATTTCTTGCTTCCGCTGCAGGGAAGCTCTCTATGCTTCGCCTCCACTTGGGAATCCTTTAAGAACGGCCTCAGCTGCAGCCACCTTGCTCAAGGTCACGGCACTTTTTCAGATACCAAACATTTAACAACGGATTGAGATGAGCAAATGAAGACCTGGACATCTCAGTCCGATGCAGGACAGTTCTGAAGGTTACACCAAAGCTCTGCTGTCCGTGAGCTAGCACTTCAGTATGACTTCTTCCTCTGCCTAATCCAGTTCCCTTTCCATCTGGGTTGCAGACACAGACTTTGAGGGAGCATTCCTTAATTACCATGTAACACGCCAAACCTCATTTCAAATTTTATTATCTTGAATCCAGGTATGCTTGAAAGTCTTGTATTAATCACTCAAATTTCCTTAGGTATATGTATACGAATAAACAGCCATAAAGCCTCTATTTCCTGAGACAGCCTGCATGTTAAGAAAATGCTTCAGCAGTATGTTATAATTATTATTATTATATCAAAATGAGTCTAACAGTCACTGAACAGTTTTAGAAGTAATAGATACCAAAACTGAACTAGAGATCTCTTAATGCCATGAATGGAATGATAAAGCATTGCCTTATAAATCTATGTATGCATGAGTTATTGCTACAGTAAGTCAAGGATCAAAACAGTCCTGTTCACATTTCTTGTTTCTACATGTAACTTCAGAGAAACCTTGAACAGAAATGAAAAAACCTTTGTTATGGAATTGTTATTACATCATGTAAACTTTAGCCTAGTTTTTGCCCCCAAATCACACACTGACCTATCACTGAAGTTACTGCTAACATATCAGCTGGAAACAATTGGATTCACCTTTTATTTGCAAAACATCAGCCTAGCTAAAGAATTTTCCACCTAGCTAGGCGTGATGGTGCATACCTGCAATCCCAGCACTTGGGAGGCTGAGGCAGGAGGATCATTATGTGTTTGAGACCAGCCTGGGCTACAAAGTGAACTCAAGGGTGGCCTGAACTGCATAGTGAGACCCTGTCTCAAAAAAACTATATACATATATATATATATAAAAATATATATATATATACATAATAAACAAAGAATTTGCGACCCAGCTACTAGAATTGTTCACTCTGTTGACACTGAGTACACCATTTCTAATAGTCTCTTTCTTCTGGAGTCTCAGAGACTCTTATGAATCAAAGAAATGCTTCATCTGTGCTCTAGGATGGGTGGGACACACCTGCCATTTGCAAACCAGGAGAAAAGGTGACTGTGCATAGGGAGGTAGGGACAAAGCAGCAGCAGGGCCTCACCACAAGCCAATTCTCAACTTGCAACTGATGACCCAGAGACTAGTTTCCTTACCGGCTCTCACCCCTGCCGGTGAGCAGTTTTCCTGCTCCCCATTTTGAAGCCCTGTCCCAAGTGGTTTCCGACATCTTGCAATTTTATTTTGGTCATAGTTTTCCTTCTTGACTACATTTCACATAGTGTATACATGATAAATTTACACCAAATACTGAAACGGAGTTGTTCCCTAAGTGAGTCTAAGGTTCACCTGACAGGTTTGTTGAAGACTCACTATGATGTGCCAGGGTTCCAGGCAGGACGACTCATCCCTGCGGCTGCGGACCGTACATCAGCGAGGACGAAGGACAATAAGAAAATAAACATTACATTTACTGTCTAAGCACACTGTACATTACACACTGATGAATTCTACCGGAAAACTAAGATTAATTTAAAAGGGTTGTGCAAACAATGAAGTCATACTTGAGTCGGTGTAATTTTTTAGTTAAGAAGGAAACACTGCACAGGTGACGTGAATCTCTGCTTCTGTAAAAGGAACAGTTGTCTGTTTGTGTAGATACAGGGTCTCTCTATGCAGTTCAGGCTGGCCTTAAACTCACTATGGAGCCCAGGCTGGCCTTGAATTCACAGCAATCCTCCTGCTTTGGCCTCCTGACGGCTTGGACTACAGGCTTGCAGTATCACACCTGGCAGGAATACTTTTTTAGCTACTGTATCTTTTCCTAAAATCAATGTAATATTACTATGCTATTAATGACAGCGCTGTAAGTCTGATTTATAATTGTTAGCCCACTGTAGAGTACTTTCTCTTCCTATTTTAACAGTGGCTACAAAACTGTTAACCAATTTGATTTCAGGAAAAAGTTAAGTTTCCTACTTGAAATTTATTTTGAATGAATATCACCGACTTTTCATTTTCTCTGACATGGCTATCTTTTGCCAAACTGACAATCGTCACAAAACAAATTACAGTGGAAAGGGACTGGAGAAGATATTGGTTAGAAAAGGACGGTAAACTCTGCAAATGAAAACGTGTGATAGATTCATCCTCTACGCACTTCTCAGTCGGGAATTGTCATTGTTCCCTAGAAAAAAGCTTTGTTCCCAGACAATGGTCTTCTTGTATAATGTACAATGCACCATTGTTACATGACTGTGAATAACTACACTCTTACAGAACTGGCTTTGAATTTTCCCATTTCCTTAAAGCTTCCAGCATCCTGCTCTGTTAGAAAAGGAATTCAGAGGTAAGAGCCAGTCCCCGAAGCAGAGTCCTGGCATCCTCACCAACAGCATTGTGTAGGTTGGCCTTGTTAGGCACTCAAACTCTCAGCCTCACCTAAACTGAGACTTGGGAGGTGGAAACCAGAATGTATGGCTTAGAAAGCCCCCAATTTGTTTTGATACACAGTAAAACTTGAGAACCACTGGATTAGACCAGACCAATTTGCCAAAAGCAGAGTCATATATTCCACATTCCAGAGAAGGCAGACGTAGATTCAAAGATTACCGATGGGAAAGTTCCTTAACCCATAGAAATGCATAATTTACTAGAGAAGTGGTGCTCTACTGGCTGAAAAGCATACAAGTCAGCAACCACCTCCGATATTTGAATGTAAACAGCAGCTCCACATAAAATAACACAGTGGCGCCTCGGTTCACGAACTGAATTCTTTCCATGATTTGGGTTGCAACTGAACTGCAAGCCCATGGCGCAACCAGACCTGTGGAAGGAGTTCTGTGACCGGAATCACAGAAAGAATGAAGTTTGTGACCTGGGGCTCCGCTGTACCCGTTAATTCTGTCATTAATCTGAAACTGAGCACACTTGACAGAAATGTGGTAATGGTCTCTAGGAAGCTTTCTTATAAGTAGAATAATTACATCAAGTCTAAAACTGATTTGGTGGATGTTAACTGCTTACTCAGGAAACCTACAAACTAATCTGGGTATAATTCTACCCATATAACAGCCCACCTTCCTATCTGGATGCATAATCTATTTCTACATACAGAATCTTTGCATTGCTCTATACATTTCCCAGGGTCTCTCTTCTTTTCTTTCTTTCCCTCAGTCCTGGTGACTGAACCCAAGGGCTTCTTACTGAGCCACACGCTCCCAGCCCACTTTTTATTTTCTATTCTGAGATGAACTCTTGCTGACTTGCACAGGCTGGGCTCTAACCTGTGATCCTAGGCCTCCCACAGTGCTGGGATTACAGGAGTGTGTTTTCACGCCCAGCTGACTGCTCTCCAACTGATTCACACTCATCTAATAAGATTTTTAAAGTATACCTCATTTCATACCTATTTTAAATAAAAAGCCTTCATTACATATTCTGATATAATGTATTATTCATCCAAATATGTTTATCCAGTCTGATAATATTGTTATTTTTATACGTCATGTTTTGTTTTGTTTTTTGTTTTTCTCCGGTACCAGGAACCGAACTCACGACCTTGCGCTTGCCAGGCAGGCGCTTTGCCGCTGAGCTAAATCCCCAGCCCAATATTGTTATTTTTAAACGAAGTCTTTTCAATGATATTTTTGTATATTCTAGTTATATAGATATATCACTGTAAATAATGGAGAGAATTAATAAAAAAGAGCCAAAGGATAAAAACATACGGAAACAATTTGACAGTATCAAGATTAAGGATTTCTTTTCAGTGAAGGTCAACACACACAAAGTGAACAAAGAGCTAAAAAGTAACAAGAAGATATTTACAATATCTAAAACCAAGATGGCATGAATAATTAAAATATTTAAGAAATTTGTACAACTTAACATCTGTCATGGTTTGTGTCTGGATGTCCCCTCTAAGCCTCATACAGTTATGGGCCAGGTTTCTAGAGTTTACGGTCCAAGGCTGGGATTATGAGTGTGAGTGCTACACCTGCCCTGGGGCGGGAAGCCTGCATACAATGTAAGGGAGGGAAAGAGCCTTCCTTCTCCATCACCACCCCTCCTCTTTTGCTACTGCTCCTTTTGCTGCCCCGCCCCCCCCCCAACAGTTGCCCTCTGCCATGTGCCACTCTGCCTTGGAGCCAACTGAGTATGGACTGAAACCTCCACAAACTGTGAGCTAAATAAACCTTTCCTTCCTTAATTCTGGGCATTGGGTATTTTGTCTCAGCAGTGAGAGAAAAGTAACTAAGACAACATCCAAAAGGCAGAATTTCAACAAAAAGACCAAAGCTATAATTATTTCACAAAAATACAATCCAGAGCAGTTAATAAATACCTATGTTGAGCGGTGACAGCCCCACTTTGGAATCAGCAACATGTGAGTTAAAACAATAAAGCAATTAAATGGGCAGAAATTCTAAAGACATATATTAGGAAGAGTCCCAAACCTGAGGAACGAAGGTCATTCACTGCCAGTGGGAGTAGAAACGGTCCCCAGCTGGGTCTTTGGGAATTAAGGTTCCCTAGAACCCAGCAATCCCGTGGCTGGTTTACGGTTCACAGCGATGCCCTTGCAGGCCTCAATCTAAACACATATGCGGGTGTTTACTGCGGCACTTGCTGAGATAATAGTAACTTAGAGATAAGAAGTGTGATCACCACTAAGAGGATGGACGAGTTAATTGTGCACGGATGAAATAACACGCAACAGTGAAAATTCATGACCTAGTCTGACAGAAAGCCAGACAGAGAGATTCTGGAGCCTGCTGATTGAATACATTATCACATAAGGTCTAAAAAGGAGATCACATAAGGTCTCAAGTATAATGGCATTTACATACATTTGAAGTGCATCAAACGCATGCACACACACACACAACTTCATGTATTCTCAGGAACACACACGTATATAAGGACCTAAGACCTTAGAGGGAGTGTGTGGGGGACAGGACTGCAGAAGAGGAGTGGGATGGAGTGTAAGAACGGGACAAGAAGTGAAAACAAAATACTCAAAGACCTCATGTGGTGAGATCCTTAGCACATGGTGAGGCCCCATGTACCTTAACTGAACAACAAAGCCAGGTTACATCAACACACCTGAGAAACACACTCTCTTCATTCCCAATGAGTAGACCCTTTATTTCACTTCGTCTCCACTATGGAATAATTGCAGTGACGGTGAGCACACTTATCCTATACTAATTTTTTATCTGAGGTACGGGGGATTGGGCACAGGGCCTCCTACAACCTAGGGAAGCATTTTCTGCTAAGCTACATCCCTACCCCTTTCTACTTTATTTTGACACAGGGTCTTGCTAAGTTGCCCATGCTTGGCTCAAATATGAAATCCTCCCACCTCCATCTCCCAAGGAGCCGCACCACTATGGCAGGCTTATGTGACAAGTTTTAGAGAACAAAAATTTTAATATTGTATTATTAAGTATAATGATAACTGTTCATTTGAAATAAATTTCATACAGCTAATAGAAAATATTCTAGTCTGTCAGATGTTTTAAAAATCAGAAATAAGTTCATCAATTAGCAGGTCTACAGTATTTTGTTACAGAAGTATAAATAAACTTATACACTCACCAAAAGCCAAGTACTATGCAAAAATCTGGGGATTAATTTTAAAATCTCAGAAGATACTCATGCATAGTTTATGGAGGAAATTACATGTAATTTTCTAGAATGGACAATCATGCTCTTAATTTGGAAATGAAAATCATACCAACATTCAAGCCCTTTGAAAGTTAATCAGTTTTCATAATTATAGTGAAGTATGTAGAATATTCACAAAACAGAAATTATTTAGCAATGAAATAGAACAAACTTACTAACAGGTGCTAAAACATGGGAATTTCACAAATTCTATACTTACTAAAGAAAAACCAGAGCAAAGAAAAAAACAGACATCATACAATGCTGTTTACATAAAGATTCTAGAAGAGGCAAAATTAATATATAGTGGTAAAAAAAACTGCAATAATATTTGTTTTGGGGGTGTATGGAATTGATGAAGAAGGGGCATAAGGGAGCATTTTTAAAGCAACCGTAGTTTATAAATAAAGGAGTTTAGATTCAATAGGCACATGAATTTGTTAACAGTCAACAGAACTGTAGGTTTGTGTATCTCATTGTGGTAAACTTTACGTGAAAACAAACACCATGCACGTACACACAAATACTCCTTCTTCTTACTGAGAAACTCTTGGTTTCTTAAATGTGGGAAAAAGGTGAATTTGAATTGTACAAAAACTCCTCCTCTTCCCCTTTGATCATGGCTGTGCGCAGGGAAGTGAGACCTCCGCCTGCACGCAAGCTCTCCCGCTCAAGCTCTCCCGCGGCATGCTCACCTCCGGCACTCCTTGCGGGGAGAAGGCGCTGAAAGGCGGTACCACGCCCGAGACGTTTTCATACCCTGGTGGAGGGGGCTCAGATAACGACGTGTTGAAAACCTAGAGAGAGGAATACCACCATCAACAAGGACATTGGCTGAAGTTTGTAACTACAGTCGAGCAAGGAAAGGAAAGACCTCATCAAGCAAGGAAAAATGCGAACTGTCTCTTCTGTCAGGAGAGGGTTAATGAGTCCTTCATTGTTCTCATACCAGATATCAGATACCTAGCACTCTGCTGGAAGCTGTAAGGAATGAAGGAGAAGAATAAATTTTGACCTGTTCTTAAAATCTACTGAAGGAGACATAGAAAAAAACCACAAAACAAAAACCATCAACCAGAAAATAACAAAGTGTGGTAGAAAGTTAATGAATAACTGAAGAAGGAGTTTAAAGAGCAGCAATTAGGATCTTCTAAAGAAAGAAGAAGCTGGGTGTGGTGGCCCACACCTGTAATCCCAGCACTTGGGAGGCTGAGGCAGGAGGATCGCTGTGAGCTCATGGCCTGCCTGGGCTACAAAGTGAGTTCAAGGCCAGCCTGAACTGCATAGTGAGACCACCTGAAAAAGACAAAACGAAACAACAACAAAACAAAAAACCCCCCAAACACAGAGATGAAAAACTTATCTTAAAGGAAGAATTAGCAATAGATGGGGGAGGCAGCAAACCTCCCACTCTGCTATAGATACAGGTGCTTCCCAGAAGACGGGGTAAATTCCCAGAAGGCCCCTGACAGATGCTGAAAGCACTAGGTTTTGATTTAGTGAACAACAAAACAAAGCATATATAGTATTGTACATTAATCACAGTCATTTAGCTCAAAAATTATTACCTCAGAACAAATTAAATGTTAATTTTATCTTAACAAAAAATTACATGATTGGCAGATCCACATAAAACAGTACCTGGATTCACCGAAAAACACAGTGATGTACAAAAACACGAAGCAAAGTATCCTTTTAAGTGTAAAACTAAATTGAAAATACAAAAAGGAAGGAATACTCAGAATCCAAGAGAAAAGGGAAAAAAAGACACCAAAGGAATCCTGAGAGGCAGCACTGAAGTCCGTGCTATAGTCTGCGTCCAGAGCTCCAAGGTCCACGTACTGAGCGTATGTGGTGGTGTTGGGAGGTGCAGGGGCCCTGGGCCTGGGAGATGGGGACCTGAAGGTGGTGCTCGGTCACTGAAGGTGACTGTGCTCGCCCAGCCTCCTCCTCCTTCTTTTGCATTCCAGCCACATGGCTTGGCCACTGCCTCAACACGCACTCCCACATAGGACCACTCATCCAAGGCCCAGTGCCAGGGGTTACCCTCACAATGGGCTGGAAACTCCAGTGCGACAGGACAAAAGAAACCTTTTCTTTTATAAGTTAATGACCTCAGATATTTTGTTATAGCAACAGAAAGCCGACTGGAACAGCTATCAAAGCCCAATGCCCACAAAAGGGACACAATAATTCAGAGACTGAAGTCAAGTCTAAATAGTGGAGTCTAAACAGGAGACCCCTACATGAAGCTGGTCTCCAAAGAAAAATGTTTACTCATAGTGGTAAATTAGAAATAAACTTGCTCTCTAGAAAACAATGGCTTACAGTAGAGGGGAAAACCTCACAGAATTCATAACCCTGCAATTTTCTGCTCACTACCTATTGGAACAGAATGCCTCGAGCTGAGAAATAATCTCTTTAATGCAGTATCGGCTTGTAGTGTCCCTGAAGCCTGGAAAAATTACCAGGATGAACTACCCTTATACTTAGGCCTTAAAGAGCCCCACAAAAGAACTCAGAGCTACAGATCACTAAATACTTACAGAGTATTATGGAAAAGAGTCAAGAGAAAGAACAGAGATTAAAATCACATTTGCAAAGGCATTTATCATACACCATATTGAATTAAAATCTACATGACAAATCGTGTACAGGTAAAAAACAGACACAGCTGGAGAAAACTAATGAATTTAGGAGATCTGAAGGAATAATACAGCACACAGCAGAGAATCACAGAAATGAAAAGTATGAAGAAAATATTAGGAGACCTAAAGAACAAAATGAGAAGGCTCTGGCTACATGTGGCTTTCCAAAGAAAAAGGAGAGAAGGGATGCAGAAAGGCTAACTCTACACTCTGAACATACACTGAGTAAAAATATTCCCAAACTGGTAGAATTATGAATACTTAGACTGTGAAGGGCCAGGAAATTGTGGCCAAAATGAATAATAAATAACTACAGCCAGTCCATCATAGAAACCAGCCATAGTCAATATGGTAATTACCTTTACTTCCTCTATAATTGATAAAGAATCAGACAGAATAAGGACACATTAAGGAAAGATTGCAGTCATATACTTTTCAAACACATACAAATATAAAATATTTAAGTCCAAGCTAAATGATAACTTTTGTTTTCAGTGTGACAGAATATTTATAGTAACTGAGAAACCCACTAGGCTCTAAAAACCTTGTACAATTGTCAAAGGTCAATGTCCTACAAACTACGCTTTCTGATTACAATGTAATTCATTTACAGATTAAACCAGACCAAATGATGAGAAAAATCTTTAAATTCAGAAATTTTGAAATTAATTTCAGAATCAAAGAAAAAAAGTAAATATAAAACAATCTGATATTAATAATAATGAAAATACTTTCTATGCAAACTCATGAGATCTGGTTGAAGTAGTTCTTAGAGGAAAATTTACAGCCTTAAAACACATTAGATGGAGCTGGGCTTGGTGGTGCATACCTGTAATTCCAGCACTCCAGAGGCTGAGGCAGGAGGATCCTTGTGAGTTCGAGACCAGCCTGGACTACAAAGGGAGCTCAAGGCCAGCCTGAACTGCATAGCAAGACCCTGCCTCAAAAAGACCAAAAAAAAAAAAAAAAAAGAAAAAGAAAAAGCAAAGCATGTCTGCTGTTTTTCTCACTGAACATAGAGAATCCCCAAAGTTATTTGATACGTCAGGACAAAGGTTTAAATATATTTATCTTTAATATTTCGTCTTTAAGTAACCTTCTTTCAACAGTAAACTTGCTTTTAAAGGTCCCTGGGTACTTAATTGTATAGATGTGACATCATCTGTTAACGGTATAAAAATGCCGCTGTCCATTATTTTCCGCTAGCACATTTGTGGCACATCATGACCGCATCCTCTGTGGGGAGCTGGTGCGCGGACAGCACTCATCTCAGTCCTTCCTTCATCCTCCTCCCTCCCTCCCTTTGCCTTTTTCTGCTCTTCCATCTCTTGGTCCCACTTACATTTGCAAAACATCTGTCTCTCTATCTCTTATTATTTATCATGCAGCTATTTATACTTTGCATTTCTCACAGAAGAGAAACCATGCAATATTTGAGCTTGTGTGTCTGATTTATTTCATTTAAAATTATGGGCTCGAGCTGTATCCATTTTCCTACAAATGACTCAAGTTCATCCTTTTTATGGCATAGCAGTACTCCCTTATGTATAAACACTACATTTTCTTTCAGATGTTGAGGTTTATTAAAATAAAATTTAACAAAAAATATGCAAAAACAAATTTCATTTCTTGATCCACTCATCTGGACATATAGGCCACTTTCAAAATTTAGCTATTATGAGTTAAACTGCTACAAACATGGGTGTGTATGTATCACTGTGTCTTTAGCCTTTCTGGAAGATACCTAGAAAGGGAAGAGTTGGGTTGAATGGAATTTCTAGTTTTAATTTTCTGAGTAATCTCCATATTGATTTCCACAGCACTTGTACTAGTTTACATTCCTACCAACAACTGAGAAGGTTCCTTTTTCCCTGAAGCCTTTCCAGCATTTGTTATTATTTGACGATGGCCATTCTTTCAGGTATAAGATGGAACCTCACTGTTGTTACCACTTGCATTTCTGTAACGGCCAGAAATGTTGAACACTTTTTCATTTATTTATTGGCCATCTGTACATCTTCTGAGGAGTATATACTCATTTCAATTGCCATTTTAAGACTGAGTCTTTTATTTGGGAGGGTCTAAATTTTTTGAGTTCCTTATATATTCTGGATATTAGTCCTCTGTCTGAAGAACAGCTGGCCAAAAATTTTCCCCAATCTTTAAAAGAATAGTTCTAAGTTTTGAACATTTTAATGCTTCTTTTTTCTTTCTTTCTTTTCTTTTTTTTGACACAGGGCCTCGCTATATAGTTCAGACTGGCTGGCCTTGAACTTACTATGTAGCCAAACTGGCCTTGAACTCACAGTGGTCCTCCTGCCTCAGCCTCTCCCAGGCTCAGCCTCCTGAGTGTTGGGATCACAGGCATGTGCCACTATGGCCAGCATGAAACTTTTAATGTTTCTGTAACATGTAATTGTTAACTACTTTAATTTAAAGTAGCAGTTAAGAGCTGGGCATGGTGGCACACGCCTGTAATCCCAGCACTTGGAGGCTGAGGCAGGAGGATCATTGCGAGGTCGAGACCAGCCTGGGCTACAAAGTGAACTCAAGGCCAGTCTGAACTACATAGTGAGACCCTGTCTCAAAAACACCAAAAAAGAAGAAATAGGGCTGGGGATACAGCTCAGTGGCATAAGTGCCTGCCTGGCAAGGGTAACGTCATGAGTTTGATCCCCGGTGCCACAAAAAAAAAAAAAAAAAAAAGAGAGAAATGGAAGCCCTAAAACTAAAGAAAGATGAATAGTTGAGTTACAGTTGATAAGTTTCCATATGGAACATGTATCATGATAAGAAGTGTCTCAACTACTTGTTATCTTCTTTCTCTCTAGTATGTGCTCTTACCTGCATACTAGATCATAAATTCTTCAGAATAAACATCATTCTATAGACCTCCCTCAAAACTGTCTTCCAAATGCTCACAGACAAGTTTTTGGCACAGATATGAACAATGCACTTTAGTTGCTCGGAAGCTCACCAGTGTATCATGCTAAAAGGTGGAAATAGTAGCTGTTATCAAGTACTAATTTCTCAGAATCTTCCCAATGTCACGTTCAGTTAAAATATCCTAAGACAGCAGTTGACACTGGTGATGAGCGACTGAGGACTACCATTCACGAGCTTCCGTTAGCATTTCAAGATGGGGCACGGTGTTTTCTTAACAGGTATCTGAAAGAACACACTGAGCAAAGATTTTCCCTTATCCCTTGTTCTTCTTACCTCATTTCCGTCGTCACTGATGACTGAGATGTAGTTGGGGTGAGTCTCGTTTGGGTAGGACAACAGGACATCATAGTGGACTAACTCAACAGAATCCAGGCCAAATTCTTTCCACTGCGACTGAATTTGCTTTGTGAGGTGCAAGTTTTGTTCTGTTCCTGCTAAATGCGGTACTCGTGTAAAATTACTGGTGAACAAAAAGTGAAAGTGGTTAAAAATTAATGTTTAGTTAGCCCTTCTCTCAAATCCACTTGATTATAAAACTGTCACTTTTATAATGCCTATTATTCATGCTTATAATACAGTAAGCGCAAAAGTAGGAGGAGGGTTTTCCACAAAGCAAAAGAGTTGAAATTTAGGCGTCACACTTGACGGGTCCCTCCCAAAATCCTGGAAGGTATCAGAGCAAATTTTTTGCACAGCTTTAATTCTGCTGGAAATTAATGTAGACATGAGTGTGTCTGTATGACGGTGTGTGCACATCTATGATATATATGCATATATATGATATATATGGAATGCTCTTTTCTCTAAAAGTATAACTCGTCTTCATTAGGGAATCTTTCAATCACTAAACATATGTGCAAAGGCCAAATTTTTTAGACATATGTGCTATGCTAGTATTAAAAAAAAGAGTTCTAATAAAATACTGTGTTAAACATATGCAAGGGTTTTATTTTTAGGTATTTTGTAAGTATTTTAAAATTTACTCAATTATCTCTGCTGCTTTACACTATTGAAGCAGAAATTAATTTTTTAAAAATGTTAACCATGCTCTCCAATTTCTGGCTCTTTGTTTTCCTTTTTTTTTTTTTTTTGAGACAGTCATGCTTTGTAGTTCTAGCTTTGAACTCACTATGTAGCCCAGGCTGACCCCAAACTGATCCTCCTGCTTCAGCCTCCTGAGTGCCAGGATGGCAGGTGTGTGGCACCATGCCTTGCCCAGCTCCCAATTTCATCTTCACAGCAATGTCATTATCCCCTACGCAGGCATGGAGATGAAGGCTCAAGAGAGTGGGGTACTCACCCAAGGTTACTGCACTAATTACTGAGTAAACATGGAACTCAAACTCAACTCCTTCCAACTCCAAAGTCCTTTTTTTTTTAACTAAAATGCACTGCCTTGGGCTGGGGACATAGCTCAGTGGCACAGTGCCTGCCTGGCAAGCGCAAGGTCCTGAATTTGATTCCCGATCCCAAAAATGGATAAATAAAATACACTATCTTCCTTGAAAGTCCAAATCAGCAAATGAAGTTCCTCAACCAAATCTGGTCTGCGAGCTCTTTTCAGAGAACACAGCCTAAGAATGGTTCTGACATTTAAATAAGTAAATAAAGCAGAAGAATACCACTGTGTGGAACAGCAATATATGAAATTCAAATCCCAGTGACCATAAATAATATCTTAACAATTTGACATACTTGGTGTATTTTCTAGGGCTTCTTTGTACTACACTAGCAAACCTGAGCAGTGATGACAGAGATCAGCTGCTCCACAAAGAGAAAAAGCAAGTCCTCAACAGAATGGCAAATGCTGCAAATGAACCGTGCACAGAAACTCTCGGGCACACGCTTACTACAAGAATTCCTTGATGTTCTCAGCTTTCAGCTCGCTCAGAAACGCCTTCTTCATGCCATGCTGTGGAGCAGTGTGAGCAGCTTCATTAGAAGACTTTATAACCCACCCTGTAAAATGAACCGAAATGTAGAAGTAAGAGAGGAAAGCAAAGGCATTTCTTACTTTTCCTTATTATTGACTCGGGCACATGTAAACCATAAATTATCAGTTGCCTCTGATTTTTTTTTTTTTTTTGGTTTTTCTCCGGTACCGGGAACCAAACTCACGACCTTGCGCTTGCCAGGCAGGCGCTTTTGCCGCTGAGCTAAATCCCCAGCCCCTGCCTCTGATTTTCTGAAGTTCCATTTCCCTTTCCTATTTCCACTGAAAACAGATGATGCAAAGAAATTTTTAAATTACAAAACAAGTGCAATATGTTTTAATCCTATTTCAATGGTACATGTTATTATTCTAAGAAACATTTTATAAGCCGGGCGTGGTGGCATACGCCTGTAATCCCAGCACTCGGAAGGCTGAGGCAGGAGGATCAGTGTGAGTTCAAGACCAGCCTGGGCTAAAACGTGAGCTCAAGGCCAGCCTGAATTGCATAGCGAGACCCTGTCTCAAAAGGATCTCAAAAAGGATTTTTTTGTCTTTTTGTCAAAAGGACAAAAAAAGAAAAAAAGAAAGAAACATTTCATGCATAAATCTGGTACTGCCTGCAGGGCATGGGGCCCACGCCTGTAATCCCAGCATTCAGGAGGGGGAAGGATCACAGAAAGTTTCAGGCCAGGATGGTTTACAATGTCTGTTCGAGGCCAGCCTGAGCCACATAGCAAGACCATAACTCAAAAAAAGCAAATAAGTAAGTTTCAACTAATGAAGATCAACAAGATCTTTTGAAAATGAAGGCAGAAAAGGGATCTGCCTTCCTTCTCCATTGGTTGCTTGTTTGTTGACTTAAATACACATTTAATAAATGTTGATAAGAATTAATTATGAATATATTTCAAGTTCACAAATTACTTCACAGTATTGCTAAAGCTCAGAACTTTAATTTGCTTTAGTTCTGAAACTAAAACTAAATTGCCTGGATTTTGTGCTTCCAGCGGAAAAAGGCTTGAGAAGTTGAAGCTGAGAAAGCCACAGCAAAGCTACAATTCACCCAGCACTGCCGCACAGCATTCAGGGAACACAGGGTGAGGCCAGAGGCGATAGGAACCCAGACTGTGCAAACCACTTCTGCAGTTACTTTTGATCTGAGGGACATGGGGCATTATTACAGGATCTATCTAGGTAAATTACGTGATCTAGGTAAGTAAACTGTTACACACTCAGCACCCAGTCAGCTTTCACGGAGCTTTCCAAGTACTGTTCATTATATACGAATGTACTTGCATATAATCGTGCACACCTAAACGCGGGACTGGGCGCAAAGTACCTACGATGCCACATATGCAATAACCTCAAGTACATGGATTAGACTGAGGGACCAGGGAAGACAGCAAGACACCGAGCGTGAGCTACTTAAACTGAGATCTGAAAGATGAGCCTGAAGAAGAGCACAGACGCCTGTGGGGTGGGGACAGCAGAGAATCCTAAGAAAATAGAAAAAAAAGATACGCAATCTATTCCGTTTCAGCCACTGAACAGTAAGTAGAAGGATCAGGGTAAGAGAAAACCAGGAGGAATAGGGTGCCTTTCAGACACACAGGTGGGGTGAATGCCGCGCCAGCCTCCCGCGTTTCCATGTGATTAAATGTAAACTATCTGCAGCATATTCTCTTTGAACACGAGCTCTTCTGAGCCGCAGCAACCTCAGGCGGTGTTAGTCCTGAGCAGAGTCTGCGGCGCGGAAGTCTTTCTAGGATTCCCCGCGCCACTGTGTAGCGGAATGAAATCAACCCGACCAATGGTCTGCGGCATCGCAGAGGGTCCACACCCGGAGCCGCGCGGGTACCTGGCTGCCCGACAAGGCTGCTGCGGGACCGCTGCTTACCGGGAAATAAGTGCCAAGTTCCCAACACTGTGTTCGGAGCTCTGCCACTGTTTCACGTGCTGTGACCAACAGGTGAGGCACCCCGTCCCCGCAGAGACCCGGGCGCGAGGTCCCCGGCGCAGGCGGCGGCGGGCTCACACTCAGC